AGGAACACAATATATATGGTGACTATAGCTAACAATACTGTATTATATATCTGAAAATTGCAAAAACAAAACAAAAAAAAACAACAACAAAAAAAAAGAAAATTGCTAAGAGAGCATATCTTACAAGTTCTTGTCACAAGAAAACAAAAAATCTAACTGTGTGTGGTGATGGATGTTAACGAGATTTACCGTACTGATCACTTTACAATATTCACATATATCAAATCATTTTGTTGTACACCTAACATGAATATAATGTAATATGGCAATTATATCTCAATTTTTTAAAAAGATAAATCAACACCACTATGCACAAGAATCATGGGAAGACACAAAGTTATTTTACACCCTTCCCCTCAAGCCAGTCTAAGGATACCTACACTCCATGTGTCATTGTTTACCCACACTTATTGATAGTGCCTTTTTTATGTGCAGCTCTTTGACTTTTCTTTTCTTTTTTTTTTTTAAGATTTTATTTATTTATTCATGAGAGACAGAGAGAGAGAGAGAGGGAGAGACAGAGGCAGAGGGAGAAGCAGGCTGCCCATGGGGAGCCCAATGAGAGATTTGATCCCAGGACCCCAGGATCAGGATCTGAGCTGAAGACAAATGCTCAACCACTGAGCAACCCAGGTGCCCTGCTCTTTGACTTTTTAAACTAGGTTCTTGAGAGGCCAGAACACAGACTGCACTGGAAAACAGAAATAAGCATGGAACAAAAACCCTTCAGTGAGAAAGTTTTTTAGATTTCTACAAAATGACTCTGCATCGACTCCACCATCACCCACTTCTTCATCTAGGTGCAATCATCAATCCAGAAATCGTCATTTCTGGAAAAAAAAATACTGTGGCAAGAAACAAAGGAAGCCCGACAGCCATGAAGCCAGCCTCCCACCAAGTTAGTAACAGAATGTCTTGGTGGGAGGGAGAAGGCACCAAACAGAGACTTTGCTGGGCCCAAAGGTATGCCATGGAAGAAGAAGAACTTTAAGCAGACTCCCTCTTCTGAGAACATGAGCCCCCAAACTAGTTCTGAGCATGCCAAGCCTCTTGTGCTGGACGGGGTTTGTGATGCAAGATCTTGCTGCCTGGCAACAAGTGCAGCACTAAACAAACTTCTACACAACACAATAAAATGTGATTGGTTCCCCCGTGGGCAATATAATAGCACCGGTTAACTGCTTAGGGTTTAAATAAAGAGGCAAAGTAAAACTATGGGTTCAGTTCATAGTATCAGCACAAACTCGCTGACCAAGTAGTTTCATTTCTTCCCCAATGCCACTAATCAACTGACAATATAACATTTGGTTCCCGGTCTATAAAAGCACTTTCAGAGCCTCCAGGCCCTGCGGACGGAGAGCCGAGAGCCCGAGCCCCGTAGTTCCTGCGGAGGCTGAATCCAGGCTTCCAGAGTTGCCATAGCAACTGCTGCTGTTCCTCCTGAGACCTCACGGGGTAAACAACCCCCGCTGAGCCCGGCAGCAGGCAGGGGCAGAGCAGCTCCCCCAAGTGCTAACACCTGAAAACCAGCACAGCAGGCCCCTCCCCCAGAAGACCAGCTAGACGGACCTGTGATACTCCCCCGTGTTCCAATACAACTTGTTTTTGGCCACTCTGCACTGAGCAAAATGACTAGAAGGAAAACCTCACCTCAAAAGAAAGAATCAGAAACAGCCCTCTTTCCCACAGAGTTACAAAATCTGGATTACACTTCAATGTCAGAAAGCCAATTCAGAAGCACCATTATACAGCTACTGGTGGCTCTAGAAAAAAGCATTAAGGCCTCACGAGACTTCATGACTGCAGAATTTAGATCCAATCAGGCAGAAATTAAAAATCAATTGAATGAGATGCAATCCAAACTAGAAGTCCTAACGACGAGGGTTAACGAGGTGGAAGAACGAGTGAGTGACATAGAAGACAAGTTAATGGCAAAGAGGGAAACTGAGGAAAAAAGAGATAAACAATTAAAGAACCATGAAGACAGATTAAGGCAAATGAACGACACTCTGAGGAAGAAAAACCTACGTTTAATTGGGGTTCCCGAGGGCGCCGAAAGGGACAGAGGGCCAGAATATGTATTTGAACAAATCCTAGCTGAAAACTTTCCCAATCTGGGAAGGGAAACAGGCATTCAGATCCAGGAAATAGAGAGATCCCCCCCTAAAATCAATAAAAACCGTTCAACACCTCGACATCTAATAGTGAAGCTTGCAAATTCCAAAGATAAAGAGAAGATCCTTAAGGCAGCAAGAGACAAGAAGTCCCTGACTTTCATGGGGAGGAATATTAGGGTAACAGCAGACCTCTCCACAGAGACGTGGCAGGCCAGAAAGGGCTGGCAGGATATATTCAGGGTCCTAAATGAGAAGAACATGCAACCAAGAATACTTTATCCAGCAAGGCTCTCATTCAAAATGGAAGGAGAGATAAAGAGCTTCCGAGACAGGCAGGAACTGAAAGAATATGTGACCTCCAAACCAGCTCTGCAAGAAATTTTAAGGGGGACTCTTAAAACTCCCCTTTAAGAAGAAGTTCAAGTAACTCTGAACATGAATGGGCTTAATGACCCCATCAAAAGGCGCAGAGTTTCAGACTGGATAAAAAAACAGGACCCATCTATTTGCTGTCTACAAGAGACTCATTTTAGACAGAAGGACACCTACAACCTGAAAATAAAAGGTTGGAGAACCATTTACCATTCAAATGGTTCTCAAAATATACCCTAAAAACTACAGAACACTTCTGAAAGAAATTGAGGAAGACACAAAGAGATGGAAAAATATTCCATGCTCATGGATTGGCAGAATTAATATTGTGAAAATGTCAATGTTACCCAGGGCAATTTACACATATAATGCAATCCCTATCAAAATACCATGGACTTTCTTCAGAGACTTAGAACAAATTATTTTAAGATTTGTGTGGAATCAGAAAAGACCCCAAACAGCCAGGGGAATTTTAAAAAAAGAAAACCATATCTGGGGGCATCACAATGCCAGATTTCAGGTTGTACTACAAAGCTGTGTTCATCAAGACAGTGTGGTACTGGCACAAAAACAGACATATAGATCAATGGAACAGAACAGAGAACCCAGAAGTGGACCCTGAACTTTATGCTCAACTAATATACAATAAAGGAGGAAAGACGATCCACTAGAAGAAAGACAGTCTCTTCAATAAATGGTGCTGGGAAAATTGGACATCCACATGCAGAAGAATGAAACTGGACCACTCTCATGCACCATACACAAAGATAAACTCAAAATGGATGAAAGATCTAAATGTGAGACAAGATTCCATCAAAATCCCAGAGAAGAACTCAGGCAACACCCTTTTTGAACTTGGCCACAGTAACCGGAGAAGGACAAACAGTGTATGTTCTCATTCATTTGGGGAATATGAATAATAGTGAAAGGGAATATAAGGGAAGGGAGAAGAAATGTGTGAGAAATATCAGAAAGGGAGACAGAACATAAAGACTTCTAACTCTGGGAAATGAACTAGGGGTGGTGGAGGGGGAGGAGGGTGGGGGGTGGGGGTGAATGGGTGACGGGCACTGAGGGGTACACTTGACGGGATGAGCACTGGGTGTTATTCTGTATGTTGGTAAATTGAACACCAATAAAAATTAATTTATAAAAAAAAATAAATAAAAGCACTTTCAATTTTAATGACAAATGTGCACATTTAGTTTGTTTTCAGAAGTAACTCCAAGACATTGGAGGAATGACAGAAGGGGTGGGGGAGGCAGAAGAAATTGACCGAATAGATTCAAATAATGGAGACGATTTTTACAGGCCAGGTACCTAAAAGTGAGGGATTCAAAATAATGTTATTTGTTAGCACATGGCTTCTGTGACTAGCTAACCATAATTTTTTCCTTGCTGAATTCCCAAGTTGGTTTCATAGAAGGCTTTATTGTAGTCTCAGAGCATTGTTTTGCATTAATTTCTATGACAAGAAACCCAAAACACATGGTGCCGAGAGTAACAAAACAAGAGTTAGGGAAACGGTCATGACTTGGCACAAAGTGTGACAAGCTGTAAAAAAGGGAATGTTTCAATATCTGAAGTGGTGTTGACTTCCTATGAACAACCTTTTCTCTTCTAAACAGTATCATATTCTTTTCAAGCACATTTAGAACGCAAGTCAAGCTGTGTTTTATTTTTGATTATAATAAACACAGTCAGTTTACTATAACAAAGACATACTAGTGGTGACCAGTTGAAAGCCAAAGTACAACACCATAAGCTGGGCGGGGGGGTGGGGTGGCGGGGCCTCGGGGGTGGGTAGTCCACAGATAAAATAAAAGAGCAGCCGTCTGGAAAGTTCTCTAAAAGAACATAAAAAGGCAGTGTTTTCTTATGAGACTAACACAGAATGCCAAAATATCTAGCTGGGCTCTTTTTTTGTTGTCACTTATGGCAATTTGTAACTAAAAATAGCAAATCCTTCAAAATATTGGGCTCTCATATTTGTTTTTTTTAATCTCCATAAAACTCAAAAACTTTGTGCACTGCTTTAAATTGTAACACTATTTCTTATGTAAGACTCATCTACATAGCAGCTTATTACATTTGTGTCAGTACTAATCAAACTGTTTTCTTAAAAAGAACATTTAAAAATGTTTATAGAAATAGCTGAAAAGGATTAAGAAGTACAAACTTTCAGTTGTAAAATAAGTAAGTCATGGGGTTGCAAAGCACAGCATAGGGAATATAGTCAATAATATTATAAGGATGTTGTATGGTGACCACACTTATTGTATTGAACATAGCTTAATGTATAGAATTGTCTGTACACTTGAAACTATTAGAACATTGTGTGTCAATTATACTTCAGTTAAAAAAAGTTAATAATTTTGTATGTATTTAGATTATTGACAAACTGTGAAATAGTTCACAATAAAATGGTTACAAATAAAGTTTATAAAGCATTCATGATTAAATTGAATTCCTGATTTCAAATTTATTAGGAAATAACATAAATCACCTTACCATTTCTTGAACTAATGATTTTTCATAATCAAGCTCACATAGTAATCTGTCTCTACCATCCGTTAGCTAAAAGAGAAGAATATTATATTTTGATTAAAGAAAAGAACAAAATACCTAAAAGAATACCTAAAATTTCTCCTCAGTAGAATAGAACAACACATATTTTGATTTTAAACATGAGAAAAGCAGATCCTAATATGATTTTAAAAATTTAAATACCTGTAGATTATCATGGAACAGAAATACATTATATATTACTGTATTTTACTAGAACAACAAGCAAAATATACACAGGAAATGCCAATTCATTGACAATCTTCCTCACCCTATACCAACAAAATGTGATGTTGATATATAATAAAGCAAGTATAGTGTATCAAGAAGAGCACTTTTGCTTTCCTCTTTATAGGACCCATTCTTTTATTTTAGATTTTTGTGTTATATTTCTATGCACATCAAACTCTATGCCAACTGAAAACAATCATCAAAAAGCATATATTGCATAGCCCCTGCACTCCTACGACTTGCCTTGGTATCTTCAATGATTACTTGCCATTCATGTATTATATATAATGATAATCAGTGTTATATACACTGATAAAATTCAAACCTTGGTTTTGACATCCATTCAATTAGTCCGTACATTCATGATTTAATACACATGTGTAGAACACCTTTTAGATGCCAGGCATTTTGTTAGTCTAGGGAGGTACAGAAGTGAAGTAGAACAGATCCCTTCCTCTGAAGCATCTAGGTCTGGTAGGAGAGCAATGTGAAAAAATGACTGTAATACATTAGAAAATATGTTAATAAATCAAATTTTCAGGTGGCCAAAAAGCATAAAGAGCCACAAATCCCGGCAACCATAGTTATAATAAGATATAATAGGAGAAGTACATTTTGACAATAGTCTTGAGGGCTACTGGGAATGCAACCAGTTGGAGAAGGAAAAAGGCAGTGGAAACAGCAAACAAAATAGCACAACAACTGGAGGGGAGTATGAAGTCATGGAGGAATTGGGGAGGGCTTGGTGCTATGGGACCCCAGGATGCAGAGAGACAGCAGTGGCAGGAAAGGAAAGGAGGAGGGTCGGGTGACAATATGAGAGGCCTCACTTTCCACAATCAGGGGTGGAAGGCAGGATGATACAATGAGGAACATAAGTGTGTTCAAATCGAAGCTCTGCTCCTTATTAGCCCTGTGGGTAAACTAAGTCGGCTTCAAGCCTTAGTTTTCTTCTCTGTAAAATTAAGATAGTAAAATCTATTTTAAAGAATTCATTCAGAGAGAATTTAACTGTTCCTGGCATATGAAAATCCCCCGGTGTATTTTTGAGAGGTCTGATTTTATACTGTAGACAATGGGAAACCATTGAACGTTTTAGCACGTGCAATTAGGGTATGACACACTACAGCAGAGTGTGGAAGCTTGATTTGAAAAGGGATGAGGGTGGAAACAGGAAAATGAAGTTAGAATCTATGGAAATGATGACAGCCCCAACCAAGTCTGTAGCAATGTTGTGACAGAGAAGGGGGATTTGAGATACACTGTGGAAGGAAAACCTACAGATTGGGCGACCAAATAGATACGAGGCATTAAGGAGAGAGTAGAGAATGACCCTGGATTTCTCATCTGTTCTTCGGGATCGATGGCAATGTCATTCATTTAAGTGGGGAAACACAGCAGAGTCCAGATTCAAGGGGTAATAAGGTCAAGTTTTGACAGTGATTTGATGAATAGGTAGCACATTTTTTCAGCAAATGTTTTTAAGGGCTGATGACTAAGAATTTAGAGATAAACAAGACAGTTTCTGACCTTAAGAGAGCAAATAGTCCCAGGTATACAGGGCCACAGAAGGAGCTTCTAATTACCATAGGAAATGGATGGGGCTGTCAAAGAGCATGTGACATTGAAATTAAGGATGAGAACAGAATTGAAACTATAGACGTGGCATTCAGAGAAATCATAAAGCAGGAAAGGAAGTTTGGAAGTCACTGGTAAACAAGTGTGCCAGTTATGGGAGAGGCTGAGTTCAACCAGAGAGAAAAGAAGGAAGATCAAGGATAAATAGAATTCCCAAGAATAGCATTCAAGTGGAAAAATTGAGCAGAGAAGTCACAGAGAATTGACAGATATTGCTTGGAAGGAATGAAGAACCACGTGAAGAATCAGAAGTGAGCATTGTTGTAGAAGACTCTATGATACGGCAGGCAGTCCTTCCATATACAGCAGAAAATTCAGGAAGGAAAAAACCTAAAAAGAATTGAAGGCAGGATGCCTGAGTATCTCAGTGGTTGAGCATCTGCCCTTGGCTCACATCGTGATCCCGGGGTCCTGGGATTGAGTCCCGCATTGGGCTCCTCGCCAGGAGCCTGCTTCTCCCTCTGCCTTGCCTCTCCCTGTGTGTCTCTCATGAATAAATAAAATCTTTTTTAAAAAAAGGATTGAAGGCAATAGGAATCTCACTGTGACCTTATACACAAGAAAAACTAGCATCGGGGGAGAGAAAAGGGGTTTGGTAAGCACAGATTTATTTTAAATAACATTTGGAATATAGTAAATGGCAATGGGTGATTAGAGTCAATGGATACCACCAAGACAATGGTTTCACTATATCTGTAGGCTACAGTGAAATTTTTAAAGGCATTAGAGAGAACGGGGTGATGAAGAAAGTTCCAGAAGAGAAGGAAGGAAGAGATGAGTCAGGGCAAAGAAGAAGGATCCTCTTTGGATAAAAAGGAGTTAAGGTAAGGCTAGACAAGCTAAGTGACAGAGTAAAAGTGTGCAGAAGGAATTGTTTGTGCATCCTTTCAGGTAAAGCTAGACATCTCTTCTCTACGTACATACTTCTATTACAGTCCACATCACACAGCCCAAGGGTTTTTGTCTCTCGTCCTAGACTTAATCTGCTCCACAGCAGGCCATGCGTGTGTATGCACGTGTGTATGTATGTGTGTGTATGTCTGTCTGTAATTTTTGTATCTCAGCACTAGCACACTGCTTGGCACTAAAAGGCATCTAGTAAACATCGCTGAATTAACTGATGTAGTGGAGGATATTGGAAACCAAACCAGTAAAGATCAGCTCTCATTTGCTCAACAAGTCCTAATGTGCTTTCCAGTTGACAAAGCACTTTGACTCCCATTATCCCAATGTATCCTCACAGTTAAGCCTGTGAAAGACAGAAAGAGGGAGAAGGCACTGGCCCAAGGGACCACAGTGGCAGAAATGGAAGAGGAACCCAAGGTTCTGGGTTCCTTCTGTTCAATACCAAACTGTACCTATTTTCAATGTGTCCGTGGAGGTTCAGGACATATAAAGAAAAAAAGAAAAGAGAAAGGACTTTTTAAATGATCAAACGGACTAGGGATCTGCTATATTTGCTAAAGAGAGCTGTGAATCAAAAACATGGTATAAGGGGATTCCTGGGTGACTCAGCAGTTTGGCGCCTGCCTTCTGCCCAGGGCATGATCCGGAGTCCTGGGATCGAGTCCCACTTCGGGCTCCCTGCATGGAGCCTACTTCTCCCTCTGCCTGTGTCTCTGCCTCTCTCTCTCTCTCTGTCTCTCATGAATAAATAAATAAAGTCTTTAAAAAAACATGGTATAAGTTATATATAATTTTGAATTTTAGAGTAGTCTTGCTAAAAAAGGTAAAGGAAACAGGTGAAATTAATTTTAATAATATATTTTGTTTATCCAAATATACATTCAAAATGTTATCATCTCAATGTGTAATAATTAATCTTAAAAATCATTGCTGAGATATTTCACTTAAGCTAAGTCTTTGAAGCACATCTCAATTTGGGGACTGAAATTTCATTGGAAATACTTTATCTGTATTTAGACTGCATAAGAATTGCAGAGCAACAAGTAGATTCACATACCAAGTTATTTAAAATATACACAAAGGTTTTCCAATAAGCCGAAACAAGTATAAGTTTTTACATTTAAATTTTAAAAATTAAAATTAAATATAATTAAAAATTGAGTTCCTCAGTTGCACTAGACACAATTCATGTGTTCAGCCAGCCACAGGGGGCTACCACCGGGCAGTGCAGACCTAAGGCAGCTGAGGAAACACTTAACTGAAATATTTAAGCTCACACAGGGCTTGACTGGTCATTCGAAGGGGCATGTTTCTTTCTAATCGGCGGCTTAGTGGTCAGATTTTTTGCTCTAATTTCTTGTGCTCTTTCCAGAGAAGAGTAAGCTTACACGACTCATCCCTACAAGTGACTGGATAGATCGAACAGTTTTAGAAACACTTAAACTGTGATAATTCCTTAGAGGTTGAGACTAGGAAGCTGCGGCTTCATTTTCAACCTAGACATTGATGCCAAGAAGGTGAAACTTACCTGTCCACAGACTCTGGTTTTCTCTGTAAGGATGGGACTTGTGCTGTCACCATTGCAAATAGAATGAAGCATAAGAATATGAACTCGCTCTGCAAATCCATGATGATTTTGCTTATCAGAGAAAACGTCTCCCAACTCTGACCCTTTATGTAACCAATTCTCTAAAAATTAGTTCTTAAGAGTTAATTTTATCAAAAACCTAAGAATACTCTGAACTGTAAAATGGGGCTGAAATTTGGACCTCAGCTGACGCACAGGTGGCTGTCGGTTGGGCTCTGGAAACGGGGCTTGTATGACTGAGGGATGGCATGTTTAATTAAAACTGACTGTTACCCAGTTTTTAAATTACTTTTCATTTTAGGGGGCACCTGGGTGGCTCAGTGTTTGAACGTCTGCCTTTGGCTCAGGTCATGATGGAGTCCCACATCGGGCTCTCCACAGGGAGCCTGCTTCTCCCTGTGCCTATGTCTCTGCCTGTCTCTCTGTGTCTCTCATGAATAAATAAAAATAAAACCTTAAAAGCATTTTTTTTTCATTTTAAAACTGGCACTCGATTCAGTTAGTGGAAAGTATTTATGTTTATTTGGAATAATTCAGAGATGCAAATGCACATTTTCACCTGTAAATCTCAGGAACTCTAAACACATTCTCATTCTATGAATCACTCAAAGAGCATTGGTCAGTGTGCCAGGCTCTGTGCTCAGTGCTGGGAATATACCAGAAACAGAGATGATAGCGTCTCTGCTCTCGTGAGGCTTGCAGTACAGCAGGGAAGATTGATTATCACTGAAAATATGTTGATGGCTATGATGGGACAGTAAAGGGAGCTAAGGAAGCCCGAAGCAGGGGTGCCGACCTGTGCAGGGGGCATAAGTGCTGTGGTCCCACTGGCCCAGATGCACTAGGCGATCTTGGCCTTGCTGATACGAAAAGAATTCCTGTCCTAAGTACAGATTTCCCACATAACGTAGCCCAGCTCGTGGGCAAACAGAAAAATGAACATGAAGCTACATGTGGGCTGAAAAAAAGAATGTTCATTCTTAATAACAGGATTTTTCCACAAGCACATCTCCAGACCTCCTGTGCCATCGAACTTCAGTTCCTTACGGTCAACGAGGCAGACACCCAGTTAGCCCAAGTAAAAGAAGTATCCGTACATTAATTCATTTTCAGGATGAAATCCTTATTTACTGCCAAAGAGCCTACCCAAATCGCGGGAGAGATTAAATATGGAAATGGAATTGGACACCCCAAGACGATCGGGACCCACCGTTATTCCATCAGTTCTGCTGATATTTCAGTGTAAAAGAGTCATTCGTCAATGTATAAAGTTACAGTACCTTTTGAATGGTTTTATGATTCTTTTCTGCCATCTCTTTCAGACTTATAATTTCATCTTCTGTAAACAAAAGGAGAGAGAGGCCAACCATGAAATTACAAGCTTACGGCCCTGTATTCAAACTCCCTGCTTCAGGGCAGGCTGTACACTGCTGGCAGGCATGGTGGACGCAAGTCCTAGCAGGACTGTGACCTTCACAACTGCCCTTGACATTCACAGGCTTCTTCCTGCTGTTCAGACGGCTGGTCAGATAGGGATTAAGAACTAAGTTCAAGATCCAAGTGGGGCTGAGGGCTGAAAGCTTTTCAATACTAGCAATGGACATTTTTGCTGTTAGTTACAGCGGATACAAAGTGCTTTAGCAGGTGGCACTTGATGACTCAGTAAGAGCTACGAAAACTGGAAAAAGCATTATTACACTACTCTAGAAGGGAAATGAAACTACACTGGCATGGTATAATTTATATTCAAGAGATACTGTAATATATCTGATTTTATTGATATTTTGCTATAAGTTTTTTTTAATCATTTGTTCATTGCTTTTCATAAGTGCAGGTTAAGGGGAACATTATATAATTCTCAGAAATACAAAGATAACAACAGTAAGTGAAAAGATGCTTTAGAGCACTCTAACTTTGGTGATTTCTTTTCTTTTCTTTACTTTGGTGATTTCAATGTGACTTTTACCATTTATATGGTATGTAAAACTGGGAAGGGTTATAAAGCATGCACATGAAAATGTATATTATAGGATTATATCCAAAATTGAAGATAATTCCGTAGTAGTAAGTAGTGGCATATTTTTCTGAAGGGCTAACTCTCCACAAAGCAGACCCCGATATGTGTGCTTAAGTATTTAAAGGTTATAAATTTTAGATAATCAAACCAGCACATGCAACAGAAGTCAGCAAAAGTTTCTCTCTGTTTATAACATTTCTAAGTGAAATGGAGCACTGCTTAGCACATTTTTCAAAGGTCAATGCTTGTCTTGGGGGGGAAAACACCAGCTTGAGTTAGAATGGCATGGGCTCAAGAATATAACCACAAATAAACTCTCTTTCCCGGGCAAGGAATGCTGTCTTAAATGAAAGTCAAAGCTGGCTAGCCAGCTGATCTTATAAATGTACATAACCAAGCAAAAAACGTATCTTTGGTAAAAATAAACACCGCTAAGGATTTTATGAAGCGCCCGATGCATAGGTTTTTCTCAAAGACGACTGTAAAATGTTACCTAATACTGAATTTTCCTTTAGGTTGAGTCGGATTGCTTCTTCCAGTTCTGAAATGATTTGAAGCAGTCTCTCGTTTGCTACTTTGTACTCCAAATTTTCCCTCTCCAGGGTCGTCTCTCTGGCAAAAGCGTCCTGAAAGATGGGGAATTCCGTCTTTCTAAGCAGAGAGCCAAGGATTTAAATATGCAACACAAGACAATACAGATACAGAAGGGCTATCATATAATTTTCTGAATTCTATTACACACTTATAATATGAATAGTAAAAAGGAAGGAGATTAAATAGAGCTCGCTGGAAGAAAGGCTGCAGTACATTCTGTACAAAGACCACAGCACATGGGGACATTTTATTGACAGGAATAATGCATATCATACTGTTTGTGTGCCCTCATCATTCAGGTCAATTCATTATGGAGGCTGTGTCCGGGGAGGCAGCTGGGGCCCCTCCACCCACACTTCCCTCTGTGTGTGTCTGAAGTGCTGTCCGCCTGTAACTAGGCAGGCCGGGGAGACCAGGACGGGCAGCGCCAGGGGGTGGCAAAGTGCATGGCTAAGGAGGGGGGGCTTGTTGCCTTTGTGGCATTTCCCAGTGTCAGTGCTGCCAGTGTCATGAGGAGCACATCACATGTCAAAATGGTGACGTTTTCAGGCTGGGAGCCGCATGGAGTCCATCAGGCACACGGATATCCACACAGTTGGTTTTCTGCTTGGTGGAGGAGCCACCCAGAGGCAATTCATATTCTGAACATTAACATGGCTTTGCATGCCTGTCACACTGGGGACTGTGCAGGCGTTTAATGCTATTGAAGACTTCGGTTTAAATCTCTATGCAAACAGCGATTACCTTGTAAGAAGGTTTCAGGATAACTTACAACAAAAGACTTTAAAGTTATAGTTTTAGTAAAGCAAACTCATTTACATTTTTATTATGTGCGTCTTTTGTTTAAATCTTGCCATGTCCATTATGGGAGAGGCTTTTTCTTACGCAATAGAAGCTTATTGGGACAGCTACTCTTCCTTTCTTCTTCTTCTTCTTGTCTGTTTCAAAGCTTTTGAAAAACATCTGAATATACTCACTTATGGCTGTCTAGATTTTACTGCCACACATTAAAAAAAAAAATTAAGATGTAATGGACTGGGCGAAGCTGGGGAAGAACTTTTTACTTCATGAGGGTAAAATATTAAATGATTATGCAATCTCAAAATATTAAGAAGTAGGCTTACGAGTCATCATATTATTATGCTAAAAGAGACAGAAGGTTCTATATGCCTTGCTCCAAAATTCATATGGATAACAGAAATACTTTTGAATTTTAATCTTCAGGTGAATGATAACATATTCTTTCTGCAGCAATGTCATGATGGCTAATACACAAGAATGAAATCTTCCCTCAAAAACAAAATCTTTCTTCCCAATATACTGGGTTCCTTTTCGAGTCATGTTTTTATTTAACTTTAGAGATATCTAAAAGCAAATTATTAAAATGTTTTACTCTGTGACCATAAGGGCTCAAAAGAAAAATAAGTGGCTACAATTTTGGCAGTGCATTTAATAAACCCAGTACGTTCAACAAGAAGCCACATACTAATGAATCAGTTATATCAGAGGGAATTTTCAAAATAGTGTTAAGTTTTGCACTAAACCCAATACAAATCTTCATGATTGTGAGCCACCATTTCATTTAAATTATCTGAGTCCAACTCATTCTTAACTAATGAGTTAATAAGAGTTAATAAACAACACTGTTTTAGTAAAGGAAGAATCCCAGGCATTAACTTCTAGTCTCACCATGGCTCCATTTGGAATCATCACAGAATGTACTTATAGACTAAAAAGGGATTTTTAAACAAACAAGCCAACAAGCCAACAAGCAAGCAAGCAAGCAAACAAACAAACATTTGTCTCCAAAGGCAAATGTTAAGCACACATTTTGCACACTAGCAGAACATGAAAACTCACAGTGGATAACATGAGCACTCGTTATCATCTACTAAACAAGAACTATTTGAATTAATCACACCAAGTGTAAAATGTGTAAGTGGTAACAGCTAATACCTCAGTGCATTTCCTAAAACTCTCGTATAAAATCAAGAAACAAGGAAAGCACATTGGACTGGAGGGTTTCTCGTCTTCCTACCCATCCACAGCCCCTGTTCTTGTGAGTTAATCTTTACCTCTGTCCCCACCATCTGTCAGCTGCAGGAACTGCACGTAATTAACTATTCAGACTCCCACAGCAATGAGGACACTCATTAGCAAAATGAACAAAGGGATAGTTCTGGGCTGCCACGGTCATCTGTTACACTCTGAGTGGCAGGTTTTGTGGTGGTGTTCCTCCTACCATCTGCCCACACTACGAGTTTTGGCTTATGTAAACCATGAGGCTTCTTTAAAATAAACTGTGTTAATAAAACCGAGGTTAAGAAGGACAGAGATCATTAAAAGGTGGTTAGCTAGATGTGGCTATTTAAAGCCGCATTGTAGTCACGGAGAGGTTGTGTGTGATCCATGATCAATCTGGGATTTTAAGTTTATAAAGGAACTTGCCAGTGTCAAGTGTTTCTATCATGTTGTGAAAACGAGGACGTCATGGGGTGGCTCGTGTACTCTTTCTCTGGTGAACATTTGCAAGGTGTGCAGAGACGCTTTCTCCAGTTCCAGAATCCTAAACAGATCTTGAAAGCATCATTTTTGAAGACTGGTGTACTGTAGAACCTCACTACTCAAAGTGTGGTCCCCAGACCAGGAGCCTCAGCATCACCCAGGAGCTTATGGGAAAGACAAAATCACTGGCCCCAGCCCAGGCCTCCTGTCAGAATCTGGATCTTAACAAAAGCTGCGGGGGATCCATATGCACAATAAAGTCTGAGGAGTACTATTTAGAGACCTGCATGTGCCTCTCAGCAGTCTCCCTTCTGCAATATTGGTGTCTCAATTCTGCAGGCTCCCCGTACAGTACTCGGACATCTCAATTTGATGCTGGGGGGGGGGTGCAGTGGGGTTCTGATGCATGCCCATGTTGCATGATAGTCATGGAGAAGAGCAGGTGCTTTCCCAGTGAGTGACAGCCAGGAAAGTGGCACACTGGGGCAGAGCAGCCCTGCAGAGCTGCCACTTTTGAACGACAGCTCTGTTTCAGAGCTGTCAGCAACAAGCAGTCATGTTCACTTCTGGGGGTGGGGAGTGGGGGTGACAGTTGCACAGCTCATTTTGTTAGGGTAAGAAAAAAAAATGAAGTCTTTTCAAAACGACAACTCCCACTGCAGTTAAAAACACATGCATGTGTGCGAGCATACACCCACATACACGTGCACACACTCTGACAGGTCCCGTAGCAATCAGTCTTCAGGGGGATTTATCAGGGGACAGCACGACGTCCTGATAACTACAGTGGTATGCAATTAAGTCTCCATGGTTTCCTGCAGAATGAAACCGGAAAAGATGCTCAGTCCTTGAATGACGTTGCTCAGAGGAATATTCGACGTCAATCCTGGAGAGACGAGGCTTCTGTAACTCCAAGAGCCCCCTCTCCTGATTTCCATTTTGTTATAAATATGACTTCGGCTAGCTGTTTATTAAAGTTTTCCTTTGTGATCACATTCTTGTCAAATTTTTCTCAAAAGCAATTCGAGAGATATTATGACTGCTTATGAGCTATAAACTATTTATGTAATTTGACAGTAAGAATGAACAAGAGTGACTCCCTATTGCTTATTCAGCTTGCTTATTTCAAGTTGTCTCAAGTTTATCTCCACTGCCACTTTGAAATTTTCCAATTGGTCCTCCAGATTCTGTTTCCAAATCTAAGCTCAGACGCTGGATATGGCAAGCTTTTCTATACCACCAGAGGGAGCAGTTGTCTAAGATGAAATTTCAAATTTAAAACGCTCTCTTCCAGAACTTCATTCAGTGGCAGGGAGTTTTAGGAAATCTCCTTAGAGGATTGAGAAGGAAAATATTCTCCATAGGTTTGTTTTATATAACTCATGACTGGTTTTGTGGCATTCATGTCTATGTTTCTGAAATGCACACCAGGCCCAGCTGCTCTACACTGCCCTCGATCAAGGTGGGAGACCAGCACCAGACGTTGTATTGGGGTCCTAAGGAGTGGGGAGAAATGTATACTTCTAGTTAATCAGGAGTATTTCACCTCTGTCAAATTTTAGGGTGCTTATAGAAATTGTGACGTGGTCTCCCTGGGGACAGGTTGTGAGAAGGATGCCTGTTGTATTGACTGCCAATTGCTCTGAGTTCTTTGAAGAAAGGTAAGTATATAAATCCTAGATTATCATTATGAGGAAATACACGAGTCCTTATGATCATCTACTTGACTTTCCATGGAATGCTCTGAACAGACCTCAGGACTTGTTGAGACCATCCGGATTTGGTAATTGAGCACCTTACACTACCATATGAGGTGTATCTTGTAATGTTTACATCTCTAAATGTTCTTAGCCTGTTAACTGTTCTGACACCTGGGGGTGGAGGATGTAAGGAGGGTGAGGATGGGTGGTAGCTTTGTGAGCACAAGGAGGGGGCTCCACCCTGTTCGTAATATAAGTGGGATGTTCTCTGGCTCAGGAAGCCACCTGATCATTCTCCTATACTTTGTCCCCAGGGAGACAACGTCTCAATTTCTATAAACACCCTAAAATTTGATTTGATTGAGGTGAGATTAACAGCCAAACCTATTACAGTTTTTTTAGTCTTTTCTACTAAATTGTCTCTGAAAAAAATAAGACTAGATTCAGACCCAGGAAAAGGTTAAGGTAAAGTGAGTACAAAAACTAGATGTGCCTCTTCCAAAGCAATCAGAACATGTAAAAAGAATTAATATTCAATTTTATTACATCTATGCTACAAACACTTCAGACTACATGACTTAGGAAATACTCAGGTGGTTTTATTTTTTTTCTTATCTTTAAAATGAGGATGTAGGGCAGCCCTGGTGGCCCAGCGGTTTAGCGCTACCTTTAGCCGGGGGCATGACCCTGGAGACCCGGGATCGAGTCCCACGTCGGGCTCCCGGTGCATGGAGCCTGCTTATCCCTCTGCCTGTGTCTCTGCCTCTCTCTCTCTCTCTCTCTCTCTCTCTCTCTCTCTCTGTGTGTGTGACTATCATAAATAATAATAATTAAAAAAAACAAAATCCTGCAGGATGATACAAGTGCAATTCCTATCTCCTCTATAGTTGGAAGTTTTAAGTAAGAATATTAATGTGGGACTTTGGTAAACTATAGATTGCACTTAAAGGAAAAAAAAAAAAAGATTGCACTTAAAGGCACAGCAAAGCAGAAGTGTTTCTTCCTCGTGTTAACATTTGGATGTATAACTTTTCACAGCTTTTCTGTGCATATCTATGCATGTGTCAATATTTGCATATGTATTAATATATTCATGCATTATAATATTTACATGTGTATTAATGCATTCTTACATTATAATATAATTTAACATGTGTATTAATATATTCATGCATTATAATATAATATTATAATAATATAGTCTGTTTTATTTATTTTTAAAATTTTATTGATTACTTGATTGATTCATGAGAGACACAGAGAGAGAGAGACAGAGACAGAGACAGAGAGAGAGGCAGAGACATAGGCAGAGGGAGAAGCAGGCTCCCCGTGGGGAAGCCCGATGTGGGACTTGATCCCAGGACTCCAAGATCACACCGGAGCAAAAGGCAGATGCTCAACTGCTGAGCCACCCAAGCATCCCAATGTAGTCTGTTCTATATATACATATCAGTTAGTTAGTTTTGAAAATCACAACCTTGACATCTCACATAGAGCATAGAGCTCCACTTCTTTTGTGGGCTTCAGATTCAGCTGAACTGAGGTCCAGCTGAATGCTATCTTCACCATTTACTAGCTGTGTGCCTGGGCTGAGTTAACCACCCATATCTGCCTCCTCCTCTGTAAACTGAGCTAGATGAGAAGAGGTACCACTGACAAGGTATGGAGTGCCTGCCAGTTGATACTCAAAAGACTATTATTCCTCTGGCCTCTCCTCTTTGACAGGTTAGCCTCTTCGTGCTCTCTCCTTTCGTTTCTGTTCCCACCAGTCCTTTGCCCAAGTCATAAACCAGCTTCTGGCTTTCCCTGAAACAAAGAGAACTGAGGGAAAACCCTCCAAGAATTTTCCCTAAAGGTCCTTCTATTCCATGGAAGCCTCTGACTTGGAGAGATTGCTTTGTGTCTTTCAAACTGTCTAAACAGCAAAACAGGGTCGAGTCTTCAAAATTAAAACAAACGTCTATGTGTTCTTCTAGAATAGGAAAATTTTTGCAGTGGCAGGTAGGTTCTTTTATTTCTGTTATAAATAAAAGTTGAGAACAATTATATTGCTCCTATTTATAACTATTATGGGTTTTCTGGAATGTGCCATTGAGCAGAAAAGGGTTGGACTGGCTGATGTTGTGGAGAGATGCCCAAGATAGACTACTTGTATTTCCTTTATTCTTAACCCAAACTTATAGAAAGTTATAACTTTATCTACATATATTAAGATTAATTATTCATTGCTTTGAAACTCACAAGTCTTTGAAGTCTAGACTCTTCATATCGGTCTAGTTCTTCTCTTAATTCCTTAATAATCTCTTCTCTCTCCTTCAGTTTTTTTAACAAAATACTCATTTTGATCGTAGCTGATTCTTGCACAAAAGACTCTTCTTCCACCTCAAAGAATTGCTAGAGGGAGGAGCAGCATTAAAAATCAGACACTAAGTGAGGACCATCAGAAACTAGCTCATGTTTTATTTAAGCTATTGCCTTATAAGTTATTTTATTTTTGTAACTTGCACACAATTCTCAGTAAATAACTATATTTATATTGAATGATATGCTAAAGTGCCGTAGACTATAGCGCATTATTATCCTATAAAACACAAAGCATAATGTGGTATTTTAACTGCTTCAGCCACGCAAGTAATCATAGTAAACCTTAATTGTAAATTCACATCATGGTTGTGAATGCCCTACTTCAATCTTCCCGGAAAGGAAGATAGCGAAAATTTGAATATGTAAAAAGAGAAGTAAGCTTCAATGGTGCAACTCATTCCCCCAGTGGTTTGGTATAGAGATAGGAGAAAAGTATTATTTTGTTCCTTTTTTCCACAGAAAAGCTTTGCAGGCCATTAATCCAGAAAGACTATGTTTCATTTGAAAAATTAGGAATCTAAGACCAAAGCAGATGAATATGCATTAAAATAAGATTTTTTTTCTATGCAAAGCTGTGGATAATGAACCATTAGGCATAAGAAAGCAATCCTAAGAGTCTACCTGCAGAACCATTCTAAAATCATATAATTCTAACATATCATTCATTTCTCTGCATGAAAAAATGGCTATGTTTTTGCTTTTCTTAAAAAAACCGAATACACTGTTTTTTGATAACACTAATCAAATAGAAATCAAATGAAAAAATATATTCTCAAATTGGTTGGAAATGAATTTGTATATTAGTTGATGCCATATATCATATATGGTGGTGCCCCTATTTTAATTCATTTGACATTTAATTAATTTGGCTCAGTTGGTTAAGTGTCTGACTCCTGATTTCAACTCAGGTCGTGATCTCAGGGTGGTGAGATTGAGCCCTGCCTGCATTGGGCTCTACACTGGGAGTGGAGACTGCCTAGATTCTCTTTCCTTCTCCCTCTGTCCTTTCCTTACTTGCTCTTTCTCTAAAAAAAAAATTTAATTCATTTGACCTTATACTATGAGCACGTCCCATATCATTAACATTTTACATAAATGTAATTACTGATGGTTACATCACATTCTGATCTAGAGAAATGCCATTATTTATATAATCATTATAACATATATATATTTTCAGGTTTTCATTATACTGTATCTTTATACAAACACCACTGACCACATTTCTGATCTTTTTTTCTTGGCATAGATCCCTAGAAGTAGAATTCCTGGCCAGAGCATACAAATATTTTAATGGTCTTGATTTCATTTTATAAATTTCTTTTCAAAAAGATTGTGCAGTTTACATTCTAACTTGAGGATAAGGATGTTTGTCTTACTACATTCCCTGAATCACTGTATATTTTCTGAGTCTTACTATGACTATATATGAACACAGTATTTTATTTTTATTTTAGTCAGCATGTTTTACCTCTTTTTTTTTTTTTTTTTTTTTAAGTAGACTCTACCTCTGACAGGGGGCTGGAGCTCACAACCCTGAGATCAAGAGTCACATGCTTTACTCACCCAGCCAGCCAGGCGCCTCTGAATCAGCATGTTTTGATCCCCAAAATGAATTTTTTATATGATATTAGATATTATGCTTTGCATTTTGAAAATATCCAATTCTAATTATATGCTCTTTTACTGAGAACTCAAAATAATTTTAGAACTTCCATTGATCTATTTAGTAATCAGTTTTATTGATTAGTTTTACTATTTTCATTTGCTAGTACAAAAGCACCGTTTCTAGACATCTTGTTTTAAGCATTTGGGTGCTTCCCCATTTATAGGCGGGACTCTGAAGATCCGTGTCACAGAACCAAACAGGGAAGAAATGCTTACAAAACGAATGCTGTTACTTACTCACTTCCAGCATGTAAAACTCTCATTCTCAACCCTGTTGTATAAAACCATACTGTCCATTTTGAATTCTTTGAGAATTATAGAATTATTTGTGTTGATGTGTTTGCTGCTAATATATGTGAGCGCATGCCCATACAGGAACTACAGCAAAACCTAATCACATCTGCTAAGACACTTAGTATTGTATTTAGAGTTAGGTTTTCAAACTAAAATTGCTCCATAATATATGATGAACACCGGCTGGTGAGAATGCTATACCTGGGTAGAATTGAGAGTCAAGCTAGGAACAGAATACTGACAGGGTCTATGCAACACTAACGTAAAATCAGCATCTGAGAATGCAGTAAAGTGGGAAAGAGTGAAAGTAGAGCAATACATATGGCAGTACCAGCTTGTTATGTTTATTTATTTAAAAATGTTATTTATTTATTTTAGAAGGATAGGGCACCAGCAGGGAGAGAGAATAAGGGAGAGGAAGAGAGAATTCCAAGGAGACTCCATGCATGCTGAGCACGGAGCCCAATGCAGGGCTGGGTCCCACGACCCTGAGATCATGACCTGAGCCAAAACCAAGAGTCAGATGCTTCACCAACTAAGGCACCACCCTCAGCTTTTTAAATTGAGTGGTTTTAAAGAACAAGGTTGATTGCACAGAACAGGATACCCTGCATTGGCATACCAGCTGTGTCACTTAGTGCCCTGTGCCTCACTTTTATTATCTGTAAAATGGGATTAATAATAATACCTAAACTGCTGTGAGAATCAAATAAGATAATGCACAGAAACCATTTTGAACAGCGTCTACAACACAATCAGCTCCCTATAAGTATTACACTCTAACATTTTATTTTTGTTCTGTTTTGTCATTCAAACCCAGATGCCACTTGCTCTGGGAAGCCTTAGCACCCCACCTGCCCACCTGCCCTCCACTGCTATTCTTTCTATATCTTGTCAACACTCCTCTTGGGTCATTTCATTTGTTTGTTTATTTGCTCACTAATTTTTGTGTTCTGAAGACGATGGATTTATTTTACTTTTTTAAGAATTTATTTTTTTAAGAGAGAGAGAGGGAGGGAGGGAGGGGGAGGAGCAGAAGGAGGGAGCAAGAGAATCTCAAGTAGACTCCTCACTGAGCACAGAGCCTGACTCCAGACTCAATCTCATGACTCTGAGATCATGACTTGAGCCGAGACCAAGAGTTGGATGCTTAACCAACTGAGCCACCTGGACACCCCTATTGAACTTTTTAAAAACTCCAAAATAAAGATGCTTCTGATCAGCTGGCCAGGTCATCTCCTCTGTAACATGACACAAACCACCCTGGATGCTCATTTAAAATCCCTCCAGGAACTGGGCTGAGATGCTGCACAACTCAGCAGGGCTCCAGCGAGCCTGCCTTTAGGATGGGCTCTGTCCCTCTGGACTTCAGGGCAGGGAAGGTCATGAAGAACCAAACATTTTGGTTCTTTGGAAGAACAAAACATTTTTTATTTCTGACATTTCATAAAATAATTGTAAGGCCCAAACACATTGGATTCATTTCTCTTCATCTCCAGGAATGCTTCTGATGTTTGACCAATGTTTACTGAATGAGCTGGACTCATGAGGAGATAAGCAAGAAGCACTTTTATTTTTCTTCACTGCCTCTCAGATCTGGTCTACCATCTCATGTTTCTTACCTCTTAGAAAAACTCTCAGGAAAGTGCCACGGCATTTTTGGTTTTGTTTTTTAACTCTTAAATAACAACAACAAAACTGGATAAAGGAAAGAAAGATAGGAAGAAAGCGGAAGCCATAAATTTATAAATAAAACACCCCAAATCTCACTCTAGCCTGCTTTTACCCCATCAAGTTTCCCTGTCCTTCCCATCTGTGGCCTCCCTTGGACTTGGCATCCAGTGGATAGAGGAGACGGGCTGAAACTGGCTTTCTTTTCTCATACCCAGAAATTTGCTCAACATCCTCCAGTCCAGATGTTGCTGCAAAAGTATTTTTTTTAGGTGAGATTAACATTAAAATCTGTGGACTGAGTAAAGCAGATTACCCTCCATAACATGGATGGGCCTCATCCAATCAGTTGAAAGTCTTTGGAGAAAGACTATTTTTGGACTTGAGCTGTAACATCAACTCTTCCCTGGATCTCTGGCCTGCTGGCCTACCTTGCCCTGACAATTGTGTGAGCCAATTCCTTATAATCAGTCTCTCTCTTTTTTTTCTCTTGCTCTCTATACACACTGGTTCTATTTCTCTGGAGAATCCTGACTAATATAATATCTACATCTGAAGACCATAAATTCACACCAACACCTCCAATTCCAACCTAATACCATGGCATTTATTACAGCCATCTCCTTTCCATAGCATAACCCCTTCTCTCGCAGTGGGAAAGCTGGCTCCAGATGCTTGATGCACTGATGTGTTTGCTTCATGTCACCCACATCCCTTCATGTCACCCATCTCCTGGCCACATTGTGCCACCAAGAGCTTGCCTCTGATGCAGGCAATGGGATGGAGAAGGCAGAAGCATGCCTTTGGTCTTTTAATTCACAATGGCCAGAAAATTTTATTTTTTTGGACTTTAATTCCTTTGGTCTTGCAAGAAGAATGAATATTTGTATTTTAATTTTTCCTTTAGCATTTGAGAAGGAGTTGATATTCAAATCTTTGGCATAACTCTTGGCTTTTTATTATTAGAATAATTTTATGATGTCATTTGGTCTCATGGGCAAAACTTCATGACCAAGAGTATTGAACAACACAGCTGGATATAATCTAGGGTGAGAAACAGACAAGAAAATGAATTCTCAGTATCAGATACAAGGTGACCTTGCCCTTAAATGGAAATAATGCACTCTTCCAACCAGATGCCAAATCTCCCAGGGTACCAGCAATCTCATGATCCTCAGAGAACAGTGCTTGATATTTGGGGGCTACATCATGAAGGTGGGAACAAGGCTTTCTTCTCCCCCCAAGGTTCAGATACACAGCTGATTGATCATAGGCTAAATGATTAAGTTCAATGTGTTAAAAAGAGAAGAAAGGAAAAGAAAAATCCAGGAAATGTTGTCTCCTCCCATATGAAGTGATACCCTCCATTCAGTTCTGACCCTGGAAGAAGAAACTTA